TTTTGGGGCTTTCCCCCCTGGCCCCCTAAACATATTTGACACTAAAAAACACGTTTTTGGCTTGTTTTTACTCGTTTTTTATCAAATTTAAATGGTTTTGAGCGATTTTCTTTTTGCTGTGCCAAACAGGACCAACTTTCTAACCAGTTTCACCAAGTATGCAATCGCTCCGGGCTACCAAAACGAAGCTCTACTTGTTTTTCGTGCCGTCTTTTTGCTTGATCACCAGCTCGTGTAGCCGTTTCTCTTTGTAGAATAATATTTTACAAAACGCCAATGTTAGGTAAAGAAATGAAGGTGTTGAAACATTTTGTTATTCTAGCAAGCGTCAGCTCAGTATACGCACCTCGACATAAAAAACATGACAGACTTTACAATTTTAAAAAGTTACGAACGTCGACCGTCGACAAATCCTGTTTTACCAACTTTATTCGTGATGATCTTTCGCGGTCTTTTAACGACATGTCGATCTACTCGGAAAAGGAAGGGGGATGTAGAATCATGAAAAAATTTAAATCACTCAATATTAGTTAAAGTTCAAGAAAAACGAGTAAAAACAAGCTAAAAACGTGTTTTTTAGTGTCAAATATGTTTAGGGGGCCAGGGGGGAAAGCCCCAAAAACATGTTTGTCGCACAGGGCAACCGCCCGTGGTAGTCGATCCAGGGGAAATTTGAATTTCAAAAATCGGCCTCAATCATCTTGTTCAGAATTTTACGCTGAGTTCAATGGTGTATTCAGAAAAATTAACGGATGGAAACTGTAGGAGGAGTAGTGTTTTGAAAATTGGATAGGGGTCTAACGACGGCCCTGGGCACAGGTGATTAATCATAAAACACTGGAAAATAGATTGCCTACTTCTGGTCATTCTGACCGATGTCCACTCATGGTAGCGATATATTTGATATTGACAATCTTTTTAGAATAGAGTGAAGAATCATTTGAGCAAAACTTTGCATTTTTTTGGGAAATGTAAGAAAAATCTCTGAGCGCATTAGGACGTACGAGCTCGTATCAAACTGCAGCAAGTTAAACCAGATCAGAATTTGGAAGCATGTCAGGCGATTACATTTCAGCATTCTGCGTTGTCCACTTAATTGTATTGTGCCGCAAAGAATTTCGTCTTCCACCCAAACAAATTTAAAATAGGTAGGACAGTAATGTTGTACTATTTATTATGTGTGCACATACGTAAATAAATAATGTGCACATGCGTACTGTTGTACGTATGTGCACATTATTTATTTATTGTTGTACTATTTATTGTCAGGCTGACAATACATTAAGTATGTCATATAACGTATGTGCACATTAAAATCATACCGATTCATACGTTATATAGAGTATCTGGATGGAATAGTGGTACTAATTCTATCGACGCTAATCATAGACTGGTTGGATTCCTGATTGCTCATTTAAATATTTCTATGCTTGCATCAGTGAATGTTTACAATATCCCTTAATAATGATATATTGTATCAAAACTTTCTGGTTTTTGTTTGATGTTTTGTAAACATACAGATCATGGAATGGACATCTAAAACTGAACCATTAAAACAAGGGTGACTAATTTTTGTTCGATCACTACTAAAATTATTAATCGCAAAAATCCTAATTTTTTTCAGGATAAAATCCAGTTCGGTCGTGTGGATGTCTATCTTCAGCACAATTTCGTTGAATTTGTGCGACTGCTGCAGCAGCACAACACAAAATCAACGGAATCGGGCTGAAGATACCTGTCGGCGTTTTATGGGAAACAGGATGACCGGATTAATTCCGTCCGGTATGTCAAGCACTGCTGAAAATCGGTAAGGTGGGATGTTTTGTGGCCAAAACGAAAGAAACTACTTATATCCAGTAACCGGTTCCAATCTCATAAAAACGACGCCTTTTCTGACATAATTCTTGAATTCAAATTCATCCCAGTGTACAACTAACTGTTCTTTTAATTTGTTTTGTGATTCAAATAGATAAAATGCCGGTAATTTCAAGAATTGTGCTCCTTGAATGGTTATTCAGATATCGATGACAGTGCTTTTTATATTCACTGAAAACTTTATTTTAGCTTTTAATTTAAATCATGACTTTCTATATGCTGTCTTATGTTTCCTATGCACCACTTCAGTTTCCAGGAAGCTGGTTGGCAAGATCTCCATGCTTCAAATTCGGAAGTGCGACCGTATTGCCTATTCAGAAACCCACTGACGGATGCAACTCATCCGTGACTAGGTCTCTGAAAAGGCGACACACTGGTCATTATTGAGGGCATTAATCTCGGGAAGACTTTTGGCAGCAATACCAGCGGTGCACAAGCAACTTGCCGACGTTGCAGTCCAGTTAGCACCGTTGTACATCAAGGATCATCTGCCAGACGTATGCTGTGGAACACCTTCAAGGCCGCCCGTACTTCAGCGGAGATGTGGAAGTGGCTGTTGCTGGATTGTTCACCGCTCGGCCCGGTCCCAACTTCAGTCATTTCGATCGACAATTAACCGGCTTCTCACCAAAGTCTGGCGATACGGCTTCCGGCGTTCAGGTAGCCGCCATGCATAGCTTGTTGGCTTCATGATTACTATCGGAACGCAGGCAGACGTGTGGTCAGAAAGTTGGAACGAGTGTCTGCGATGCGCAGCGGCGGAATACAACGACCATAACATCTCTCACAGCGCACGCCGAGTTGGTGACGAGATGTTCGACTTCATTTAAAGGGTTACTGGATGAGGATCGACTGTCAAGCAACGGTAACTTCCGCATCCACATCGGAAATGTGGAAGTGGCTGTTGTTCGATAGTCGGGTCCCGGCGTTCAGATTGGAGGTGACAGTGTCGGCGCATGTGACGGACTCGAAAGTATGTAGACAGCTTACTCTAGTCCACGAGATACTGCTTACAGTGGTAGCCATAACGTACCTTGGTGGAATTACCTGGCTTTGGAATTTTGTGCGCTACAAAGTTTCTTCTGTGTCGCCCAGGACTGGGTCCGGCATGCTGATTCCGGCCGCATACTACGGATGGTTTGCTGCTAAAACTTCCGGGTGACGAGAATGCCCTGTCGGTTTATGCTGTCAGCTTCCAGCAATGTGCTGGAACCGAGTCTGCCGCTGAATTTTTTGACCTTTTTCGACTGTGTTACCATTCACGATCGCGACTGTACGAGCTGCGTAGCCAGCGCTTATAACCGGTGCATCCAGAGCTATCGCTGCCCTCGTTCTGCACCGGCTGAGGAGCTCGAAGGAAACTCAAGTACAATCCTGTGCACATCATTGTATTAGAGTTCGCCTCGAACGGCTCACAGTCGAAATATCTGCGAAATTATAAAGAATTCGTCAGAGAGACGAATGTGCAACAGAATCTTTAAGATCATCCGTGCAGTTAATTTGAGATAGCTTTGTTCCACATCGTGCCAGGACGGCGGTCAAGGTCATATTATCCTGTGCCATCCGTGTGCGATAAGAAGTGCGGAACCCAGTGACTGCTGAACCAAAGCGACCTGATTCATTATTTTTGTTTACCAAATCTGCAGCGGGATGTTACATCTGACATGCCATGACGTGATCCACCGTGCTCATATGCTACGCGCTACACTTAGATCACAATGAATTACATCTGGCATGTCGGGTCCGTGACAATAATTTTCTCAAAATCTGAGACTTTGGCCGGTTCAAGCGAACCCGGTATATTATCCGTTAACGGCACGTCAGCGAGTCATCAAGGTCCGGAACAAACAGTAAATGGCGGCAGCAAGCGACAGCCATGTGCGAGTTGGTGCGGTGTTCTCGGCCACCAAGAGGAAGCAGTGCAGTATTAATGCGTCATTTGACCTGCATAATTACTTGGTCAATTTCAGCTTCGCAGATCTGCATTCGCGTCAGCATTTATGTCAACCTGCTGCGGGTAGTGCACTGTCTGGCTGTCCTATCTCGTACCGGTAACTTCATAACCGAAAAGCGGCATTGCTGACCTGCTTCTCCGCGGTGCTCTTTGCCCATATGATCGAGAAGCCTGAATGTCTTCTAGACACTACTATTTCCTTTGAGTATCTGAAGCACGATTGTCACGTAGACCCCATGAAACAAATCCTCTGGAGGCATTTCAATTTTGCTCTACATTCGCTGATGTTGTTGTTCATCACCGTTTTCGGAGACGGCGAAAAAAGTGTTTCGAGGGTACGGCTTCCACAAAAACGATAACTCGGTAGCACCGTCTAGTCGGGTAACCGAAATGCGTTTTATTTCTAGTTTTCGAAATTTTTGAGATGTCGGGACGTCATTCTGATGGGAGTGGCTGTGCGATGTGCATAAGTAATGCACTCGTCTGCAGCCCGTAACGGTCTGTACTGCACAGTATACGCAGAGTGTACAATACACTGTTAATTTATTTTGCGAAATTACCTAGTAAAATTTATATACATTGATTAACAAATTTTCGTCAATTTGGTTGGGATTTTTATTGAATAATGAACATTAGTATGCAGCTGAAAAGCATTTCCTGGTCATGTTTTTACTGCTGCTACTTAGAATCTCAGTACAGAAAGCTTAATGATCAATTACAAATTCACAATCTGAAATTGTGTTTGTACACGGTGCGCCAAAGTACAGAGTATATTATACATATATACATAATCTTAACAACAATATCACCAGCAATTGTCTGAAAGCGGAATAATGGTAATGCTATTTGAAAAAATCGTTCTGCAAGCTCGTGTTATTTATGTATTATAGTAGGAAATGATTAAGTAATGTGGCAGTTCACAGTATGTACGGTAGATGCAGGATGACCGGAAATGAATCGCAACTAGCTAAAGAGACCTAACGTTAACTAGCTGATTGGCTGAGAAAGGGCGGCACTCATTAAACCAAACCTTTCGGTATACGCAAATATTCCACTACTAATCCGAATCAATTTTGGTATTTTACAAATGCCTTCGGCTTTATTTCCAAGTCACCAGTTTCCTACACGAGCCATATACATCCAAGATACGGCCATGCGGCTTTGTGTCGAATTTACTGTAATGCTTGACCACTGTCCAGCTGCTTGTCCCCTTATACGAAATTAAAAGCCTATAAATGTACAGTATCCCAGCATTGCTACAGGCGTGCAGTAGCGTATTAAACCCGGAAAATAACAAAACGAAACTCCATCTAATTTATAATATTAGCAACGATTAAAAAGGTTTACTAGTATGAATGATTTCCGCAAGGATATGTGCTGAATAGGATTGAGCGCTGACTTGCTAATGTTGGTTAGCAATAGCATGGCCGCATGAGCAAGGGTAGCTGAAAAAAGGCGGATATTGTAGATGGTTTGGGCTAATGCCACTACGCCGCACTACGTACAATTAAAACATTAAAGTCGCACTACAGCACACTCCATAATTGGGCAAATGGTACTACATTTGAACCATTTGGCTGTCTTTCATTTTTACTGCAGTTGTCTGTTGGCACTACAAGTAATCAATTGTCTTCCGATCGAACATGCAACAATACGCTAAACAAATAAAGCAATACGTACTACTTCCTAACTTAATTTTGAAGCAGTACTAGTAGTGTCTGGTTATTGCCGTGATAATTATGCCTGATAAAGTATGCTGAAATACGCTACAGATACTAACAGGTTCAATATTGATTTTGAAATTACTAATTAAAATGATGCGTTTGTCATTATATATCTCTGATATCGACGCTTAGAAATAAGTAAATCAGGCCTAATCTTTAACAGTGTTTTAGGGCAATATTTTGAATGCGAAGCGGCAAGTGGCACGTAAGAAGAGCCCAATAATACGAAAATTATTTTACATATGCTTATATTTTATGTTGGTAACATACCAGATGGCTCGTATGGTCCCACTCTAGCACCGTCCGGTTTTGCGACAGATAACCCACACCATCAGCAGTATCAGTGCCAAAACGCCCGCAACCACGGCTCCAACGACAATGACCACAATGTTTCCTGCTGTGTTGGCGCTTTCGACTTTCACCTGCACTATTGCGGTTGCCGCGACAGTTACATCACTGGTCGGATTCGTGACTACACACGTGATGTTGACTTCCTTGTCTCCGTGTGCAGGTGTTACCATAATGCTGGCGTGTGATATTGCCCCTCCTATCCAACTGTTTGCTCCTACACAAGGAAATGTTCCGTTTGTTTAGGGTGTTCTGGTATCAGTTTTTTTAGATTTGGCCTATATGTACAAATTCGTGTACACCGACGAGACTTTCGCACAGCACTCCCAAACACTTTTTTGCATTGCATTATGGTATTTTGTAGGCAAAAGAATTGTGTACGTAGTTGAAATCCGTTTGCGCGCAACATTCGGTTGCGGAGTTATGAGGGTAATAAATTAAAGAATGTATTCAGTGTAAAGTCTATTATGGATCGATCCTTTCAAATTTTGCACGTACATAACGATGAAGATTGTTTTGTTACGGATCCAGACTTCTACGATTTTTTCGAATTTTAAAATGAATTTTAAAATTTTTAAAATTCATTTTAAAATTCGAAAAAATCATGAAAGTCTGGATCCGTACCAAAACAATCTTCATGGTAATGCGCATTTATGTGCAAAATTTGAAAGGATCGGTCCATAATGAGACTTTGGTACACCTGAATGCATTTAAACTTTTGGAATATTCTAACAGCCATAACTCCCGGACCGGATGTTGCGCGCACAAACGGATTTCACGCCTATGTATACAAATCTTTTGGCTACAAACTACCATACAGCAATGCAAAAAAGTGTTTGGGAGTGCGCGACAGCGAAAGTTCCCGTGTATGTACACGAATTTGGTGCTATGTACCGGGCCAAATCCCTTAAGTGCAGTAAGTATACCCTTTTCACTGCAGTCGGTGTGGTTGTACGAACTCCCCCGTCCCCTCAAAGGATGTATGGACCAGGTGAATTTTATCAGTGGGTTGTTCTTTCCGGCATGACAGTAAGCTGCGAAGGTTTCGTTTGGTGGAGAGACTGATGGTGCTGTTACTAACACGGATGCTTTCTCGGGGCCATCTACAAAAAAAGAAGGCATTATTTAATATAGTAGTTATCTGTACTTTTAAGATCCGAGCGCGGCGCTCATTATTTGCTCATAGAACAGGTTCGCTTTACGGTAATATGAAATAAGTTGACACCGCACTGGACCAAAAAATGCTTAACATGCATGACAATATGGTTACACAAAAACTACTCGTACTACGTGCATGACAATATGGTTACACAAAAACTACTCGTGTCTATGACTACTCGTACTTAACGATATGGTTACATAAAAATTCTAGATTTACAGAATTCTTAACTTTAAGTACATAACACAGTACTCGAACTGCAAGTGCAAAAACTCTTAGTGGAATGATTTTGTTTAAGGACTAATTTGATTTATTGCTTTATTCAGTGGACAAAGGCAGCTCAAACAATCTTATAACATCTTACACCGTATGTACCAAGTAAGAGATAACCTTAAATATTTTCACTATTAGTTTTGAAAATTTGTTTCTTGCTTCATGTTTAAAATTAGATGATATTGTATTCTACGAAGTACAGAATTAAGTACGTAAGGTACATTCATACACACGCACATATTACGCGGAGTGGCAGTTTGGCGGATGAATTGCTCATTTCTCCGTAGATTCTGTTGATGCTTTTACATTCGACAAGGGCAGTGTTATTATCTCGGTGGGGAACGAACTGGTAAGCCACATTTAGCGGTTTGTTATCCGGGCCGCTGAATGATTCGGCAACCATCGCTTTGCCGATATACAAAAGCAGCTTGGACGTGTGCTTTGCGTCCACGGAGTCCATGCACACAACAGTCGAAAGTTGACCACTATGCACCTGAATGCGCTGGTTCGTGACATTCGAGTCGGAAAACTTTGGCGTTCCTGCAACAGCCAATCAGGATCACAAACAAGTAAAAGGCAGGATGCGCATGATATACAGTTACGAGATACATACATATCTGCATGTACTTTATAATTATGTGTCTGTACGTCTACATATATCCGTTAATGTACGAAGCCGGCAACAAGCTAGTGTTCAATTTGGGCTACTAAAAAATAGTAATACAGATGAATTTTTAAAAATTTAATGTCGATAAAAATATCCTTGACCTTTTCAGTCAATAAGTAAAATCATAACCAGCATTACTCAGTGTTCACTTATTCTCGCCCATACAGATGACCTTCGCCAACGCGCCTTTGAATCTCATTGTATTTGTAACGATTCTCACTTACGCACCATATGTTACCAGTTTGATGGCTCCTGACTGTTGCGCGTGGCCACCATCACCGAACACCAAGTTCGGCGCAACCAGCTTGCACTGCATGCCATCAGAGGGGGCGCTCTTTACGGCAGGATAATAAACGACGGCTTTCTTTACATCCGCAGGTACATTGTCGTTTTCGATTATGCATTTCCTGTCTGTATAATGCAGATATTTATTAAACAACTACTCAGTATTTCTTCGACAAAATTCTCAGTAACACTCCCTACTCTTGCAGGTCGTTGCATTCAGCTCTGTTCCGTTATGGAACCAACTCAAGTGGGCGTTTTTCGGGACATACTTGATCGCACAGGTGTACGTCACACCCGTTGTTCTGTCAGGAACGTAGGTGGTCTCGCCAGTAACATCTTGCTGGTTTACTTTTATTTCTAGAAATGCAAGCAATAATAACGCAATTTGTCGACCAGTAATAAAGCCATTACTTACCGAATTGGCTAACTTTAAAGGTTACCGTGTTTTCGACAAGCCCCGCCCCACTCTGCACCTGGCACATAACGCTGCCTTGATCTTCGACCTGGACGTGCGATAGTGAAGGTGGACGTCCCTGGTTCTGTTGTCACATTGTATCGCGTTTTCTTGTCCTGCGTCGTGTCCATAATTTTGGCCATGTTATGCAGCCAGGACACCGTCTTATTTGTAGCGTCCGGGTGTTTGCACGTGAAGACAGCGGAAAATTGGCAGGAACATTGTGCGCCTCGAGTGACGGCTTTGTTGCTTCCTTGGTCCCTGGACAAAATGTCGTAAATTAGCAAGACTAATTAAACTAACTTATTAACTTTATTATGAGACTCATGCAAAAAGTTCATGCAGGAAATCCCCTTACCAGACGGTATGTTATCGGACGGCAGTAAATCGCTTTTGGCCTGTACTCGCTGGCAAAGCCCGATGGCTGTGGCACTGGCAATCCACATCCAGAGCGTCCTCATTTTTCCGTAGGTGTATGGCCTACACGTATAAATTAAAGAGCAAATATGTACGAGCGGAACACAGACACTGACTATTTAGTGGAATTTGGAGGGCATTTTACCAAAGTGTAATACCTATGTAGAAAAATTATGAAAATTAGGCTAATAATGTGAGCCAGTGAAAATGACATGCTAAATGTATGTAGAACACATTTAAATTTAATACTTACTTACATTTAACACACTTAAATTAATACGCACAACTAAAATAAAAAGCACTTAAATACTGTGAATACGCACAACGCAAGTAAAATGAGCAATACCCGCGTGCATGCGGGTTTTGTAATGCACTGTGCACAGAATATTTCAGACGAGAGAAAGCATGGGGCTCTATGGGTGGAATCGAAGTTTCTTTTATTTTAACGTTTTTCAGGAGAGATTGGAATGTCAGGCAGATAGTAAAACGTAGAGAATTTTTTTCTCTACATTTAGATGCAGAATCGATCAAGCAAAACTTTCTGAAATAGTTTCAGAAAGCATTAAACGAAAAAGTCTTGTACTGTATTGCTGCACTGAACTGCCAAACGAGGGTGTTCGCAAGGTGGTTCAGCAGTTGGAATTTTTCGGTAAAACTCTTTTTGCATTGCTCAGCTTATATTTTCCTGGACAAGTTATATACTGAATTGTAGAGAATTAAATTTTCCTCAATTTATTATGCAGCTAACGGCTGATATAGCTCAAGAAAACGTTAGACAAGCGTAAAAGACTAGAGCTCCTGTACAGACACGGTTAAGGGTCACTGTTTTCGAGCTATTCCGTTTTCCCAAACCCACTTTTATTGCTAGTGATCCCTTAAGGCTTATTAGAATATACGAGTTAACATAACACGATAAATTTTATTGCGACAACTTGATAACCGTATGGCGTATTTGTAGTTTTTTTGCCCGTTCTGAAGGTAACAGCATTAACAGTCACCATGCATAAAAAGAGCAACAGCAATAAACATTACGAAAAGAAAATCGCTAAGCTGCCAATTATTTCAAAAAAAAAAAATTAAAATACTTGTAGAATTATTTGCCAGATATTGCATAAATGAAATATTTATATCTGCATATAATTTTTTATACTGATGATAAGACCGATAGCACGCAGATGAAATAGCCACATTATTAATTATAACAAAGTCACAGTTTTTCCACTTACAGGTGCGGTATGAGTGTGATGTGTCCTTCCGAAAGAAGGACTATAGTCCGAAACAAGGAAGAAAACGAATCACACCGATACACTGACACCACACAAGTGCAATAGCCGTAAATTTACACGCTGAACCCGTGGGAACCGTATAATAAAAAACTGGAGGAGCTGGTCGTTTAATTATCACAATACTGCAGCATGGATTCTGGACAAAAACAGGCCTAAAATCAACGGCTGATCAACGAAAAACTTCTGCAGCAACCACTAACTACTCTTGTCAGGCTAATACGCAGTGTTCAAATACATGATAAAACGCTGCAAAATTCGAATACGCCTTTTTGTACTCTCACACCTCTTGTTCCATCAAGGGTTCAGGAATGTTTTCCAGCATGCTCGCCAAGACTTGTTTCGCAGCGACGTTCTTACCGTCGCACGAGATTCGAATTCAGACGCTATTGCAGTTTTACCAATTTACATGTAAAGTTTGATTTTCTTTTCCGTGACATTCAGTGCAGTGCTGCGTTTTGTCGCGCAAGCAAACAGTTTCTGCAGTACGGAAAACCGCGGTTTGCGACGATATCGCCGCAACGTTAAAATTAAAGTGATGTTCAGTTATTAACTAACGTTTAATATCATGTAGAGGTACCGGTATCTTTACGTATTCAAATAAAATGCTTGCATCTGAATTTGATGCTACCACTAAAGTAATTATTAATTTAGTGATAACATCACAGTTCTGATGCGCAGATGAATACGAATACGAACAGTTGCCGGTACTTCTACATAATGTTTTTCAGTGTGCTAGCAACAAAGAAGAAACGGAACCTGGCTGGCTTTGATAAAAACGCTGACAGCCGAAATGGCTACGGGAAAATCAGGGAGACCTATTACACTAAACTGTCTGACTTACGATGCGAAATCATTGCTTAGTATTGCATATGGATGATGGAATAATAATATAAGAGTCGTACCGTAGTAATAAACGGTATAAGAAAACAGTACAAGTTGTAAACGGTACATGTACCGTTTACTTTTATATACAATTCATATACATGTACCATCTACTCGCTTACTGTCGCGTTTAATGAAGAAGTTATGACTTTTATTATTATTCCCATTCCTTTTTTATTATTTTATTATTATACTTTTATTATTATTATTCTTTTTTTTAATATTATACCTTTTATTATTCCTTTTATAATTATGTAAAAGTTAAACTCATCTGAAGACTTGTTGTAATGATGTCGCTGTGCTTTGAGAGAATTCCACTGTAGTACATTTTCATTCAATACGGCACTAATTAAAGTCTTTCGGTTTTTGTTACTGTAAGTACGATCAACAACGTACGACGCTATCAACCGTTATACGATTGGGAAGTGCGAATGTCTACGTAACTGCACACGCACAAAACATCAAGTTCAACGCTTCTCTAAATTTTGTATACCACTTTATATGTATTAATTCGGCGATTAAAAAATAATATGGATAAACGTCTGTAGTCATCAAACTGCTTTCGGCTTTATTTCAAGCTTTAATATCATTGGTTGAGCAAGTCACTGCAGCATTCTGGATGTCTGAAAAAACCATCAGTCGGGCCGTCGGCATTACCCATTTTTCTTAATTGCAGTATTCCACACACACCATATACAGTGTTATACGTCCATGCGGCATTCTGTCGAAATGATCGGTGCTCATCCCGCGTATACGAAAAATGTACGCAGATTAACCAGAAAAAGAGCAACAACAAAACTGCATAAGTAATGATACAATATTAACGGTAATTAAAAAGTGTACGAGTATGCATGAGTAAATTTGCAACAATCTGCGCTGCATGACTGATCGCCGGTTGGTTAGTGCAGGTTAGCACGGCTGCTCCAACAAGGGGAAACTGTAAGAAAAATGGCGAACACTGTAAATTCACTGTCCTCATACCTGTGCTTACAAATATTTGAAACAACGTGTATTCCAAACAGTGTTTTGCGACAATTTTAGAATGCGAGGTAGCAAGCAGTACATAAGAGTGTGGTATTAAGTAAAACTGTTTTATACGCGTTTACATTAGTGACGTACCAGTTGGCTCGCATGGTCGCATTCGGGCGCAGTCCGGCTTTGCGATAGATGACCCACACCACCACCAGTATCACTACCAAAATGCCCGCAATCACTGATCCAACAACAATGGCGACAATGTTTTTTCCCGATTTGGCGCTTTGGGCTTTCGCATTCACTACTGCGGTGGCTGCAACGGTTACCCCGCTGACCGGATTCGTGACAACGCAGGTGACGTTGACCTGAGTGTCGGCGTAGGTGGGTGTTACCAAAATGTTGGCGAACGATATTGTCTCCCCTGTCCAACTGTTGGGTCCTACGCAAGTAAATGTTCGGTTTTGTAGCCAGATCTTCGGTTTAATTTTTTTAGGCGCAATAACCATACCATTTTTACTACAATCCGTGTGGTTGACGGAACTGCTCCATCCCCTCCTAGGATCTACTGTCCAGGTAAACGTTATCATCGGATTGTTTTTTCCAGCATGGCAGCGGGCTTCGAAAGTTTCGCTGGGGGAAAAGACTGATGGCGCTGTCAGTATCACGGATGCGTTCTCGGGGCCGTCTGCAAAAAAAGGATATCTGATGCCTTTATCAGCCCCATTATCTGTGCATTATCTGTTCGAACAGGTGCGCTTTACTGTGATTTACATCAGTTAACACTGAACAGCGCACGGAACGACGCAGTGCATTTTCTGACAAATTTTGTTTTCAGAATTTTTACATTTAAGCGCATTAAGCTGTACTGGAATTATACTGTAAGTGCAACGATTTAAAGTAGAATGATTTGGCTTCTAATACAATTTTAACTTATTGTCTGAGACAGCGGCAGATGTCTGTCTGTGCACTTCACAGTTGACAGAAGTGGTAAGTTGATCCAAAACATGTAGAAAATAAAATGTAGCTATAAATATTCTCGATTTTAGTTATCGAAATGATATGTTTTGTTTCAGAATTACAGGATTTTGTATTCTACTTAGAACTGTACTGGAAAATATAAACAAGAAGTACATAATGTATATACGTACATACGGTACATAAACAGAACACACATGCATGACACGTACATATTACGCGGAGTGGTAGTTGGGCGGACGAATTTTTCATTTCTCCGTGAATTCTGTTAATGCTTTTACACTCGAACAGGGCGTTGTGGTTTTCTCGGTCAGGAGAGAACTGGTAAATCACATTAAGCGGTTCGTTATCCGTGCCGCTGACCAATTCGACAACCTTTGTGTTGTTGAGGTACAAAAGCAGTTTGGACGTGTGGCTTGCGCCCAAGGAGTCTGTGCACACTAAACGTGACGGTTGACCGCTTTCCACCTGAATGTAATTCTCTGCAATTGTGACATTCGTTCCGGTAAATTTCGGCTTTCCTGCAACAGCCAGTAATGACTCAAATAAAAGTCAGGATATGCATAATATACTGTAGAGTATGGTATAAAACCAACTGATTTAACAAGATATTAAAACTAATTCTAAATTCGCTTGAACGGGGCAGACACTGGGCTAGCGTTCAATTAGGTGCCATCGTTGGCATAATTTATCATGTAGAAAATACTGTCGAATGTTTCAGTCACGCATGCAGCCAGCGTTTAGTCAATCTCGCTAATATTCAAGGGCGATTTTCACCAATACGTAATTGAAATGTGCTCAAAATAATACTGTATTTACATTAATTTAAGATCACTTGCGTACCATATGGTATTAGTTTGATGACTCCCGATAGTAGCGCTTTGTCACCAATACCGTCCGGCGACGATGTGCTGACCAGTCTACACTGCAGCTCGTCGTAAAGGACGTCTTCTATGGCAGCGTAAAGAACGGTGGCTTCCTTAACATCCGCAGTTGCAGCGCCGTTTTGGATTTCGCAGTTTTTGTCTGTATATGTAGTGAGAATATTATTGAACAATGTATTATGTAGTGTGAATATTGTTAAACAACAACTAATATATATCCAACAACAAATATATAAATATTATTCATAAAATAATCCTACCGTAGGTACTAGTAGTAGAATCTCACCTTTGCAGGTTGTCGCGGTCAGCTCGGTTTCCTTATCAAACCAGCTCAGTTTGGCATCTTTCGGTGCATACCGGATAGCACAGCTGTACGTCACGTTGATTGTTCCGTCAGGGATGTAGGCGGTGTCGCCTGCGACATTTTGCTGATTTACTTTTATCGCTGCAAATCAGGCAATAATAATAACTTTGTTTTCCCAGCAGTAATAAAATGTCTGACTTACAGAGTTCGCTAACGTTAAATGCCGCCGTGTCTTCGACAGTCCCTGCCCCACTCTGCACCTGGCATGTAACATTGCCTTGATCTTTGACCTGGACGCGTGCGATAGTGAGGGTGGACGTTCCTGGCTCCGTTTTCACGTCGTATTGCGTATTCTTGTCATCCATCGCGTCCATAACCTTGGCCTTGTTATGCTGCCAGGACACCTTTTCCTTTGTAATATCCTTGTGCTTGCACGTGAAAACCGCGGAAAAATTGGCAGGAACCGGGCGAGTCTCGACTAATGGTTTTACTGCTTCCTTAGTTCCTAGATTCGACCCAGCAAAATGTTGTGAGTTAGCAAAGGTTTAATACTCGTACAATACAAAACGTCCGTGCAAAAGGCTTCTTCTTACCAGGTGGCAGTGGATCACTTTTTGCCTGTACTGGCTGGCACAAGGCGATCGCTATGGCACCGGCAATCCAAACGAAGTGTGTCCACATTTTCAGAAGCTGTATATCCTTACCCTACAAGCACGAAGTGCGAGTGGAAGTGGCATTAATTTTGATATTTAATTTACTTATGTTAATTGCGTCTCACAATAATAGGATCATCATATTAAAGCAACAATTAGACAGTATTTCGCGTGTATGCAGTCCTACGATCAGGACATCTAACGCATGGGAAAATCTGCAAAATTTTCTACTAGCTGAAGCACCTGTGTAAGTAATTATAACTCTACAGAGTGTATAATCATGGTTCTGATCACCAGGCGCATGTGATGAAATCGGCATTCTGATGACACCACATGGAACTTGCAATCCGTGACCTGTAGTTCTTTACCAACCGATGAACACGTTTCGGTTCTCGAATCGACACCGACTCTGACGAGTGCGTTGGGCGTACTAGTTATATTGTATACCGTATCTCACTTACATTTTCGTTAAAATCCAAACAAGAGTTTAAAATTACAAGATACCATTTCATGTCAGGATCAATTTCCATAACGCATCGTTTATTTCTTATCCGGTCTTTAGAATCTGATGATGATATTAGTAATTAACATGCAGTTTTATGAAAAGAGCATCGGCTTAATACGTATTAGTTGTACCGTTGTACGAAAACAAAACTGAAAAGTTGGCAATTACTCTGTAATTCGGGAAAATTACAAAACTTTTTAAATAGTACTCGAGAGTATTTTGCAATTATCGCAGCGCCCTCGATAACCTTGATACACAATTATAAAATATAACAGTGAACGTTCAAATGTAATAAAATGAAAATACCCAGTGGATGATTTGTCAGCTTGCAGAAATCAAAATTATAATGATATCGGCACCTAATGCTTTATACTAAAACCGACAGCACTCAGATAAAACAGCCTTGTAAGTAATTTTCTCCACTTACTGACTTATAATTGTAGTAACGGGTGACTGTGATGCCCCTCCAAAAACAAAAACAAAAACAATATGAGGAAAGCGGATCACAAAGATCGTAAGGAGGTTTACACGCTGAACCAGTGCTGGGAAACGGGGAATCGCGTAAATCAAAACTGGCAGAGTTGGCCGTTTAATTGTCACAATACTGTAGTATGAAGTCTGGACAAAACTAAGCAGAAAACTAACGGTTGATAAACGGCAGTAATCATCAGTGACAACTATCTTTGCAGCTCAACTGCCTCAACACGCTGGTAAAACGCTGCAAAATTCGAATGTGCCCTTTTCTGCTTCCAGACCTATTGTTCCATCGAGGGTTCAGGAATGTTCTCCCGCATGCGCGCCAAGGCGTTTTTGCAGCGTTCTTATCGTCGAACGAAATTCGAATTCAGACGCTGATGTACTTTTATAAATTGGTCTGTAAAGTTCGATTTTGTTTTCCATGACATTTCAATGCACTGCTACGTTTTGTCGCGCATGAAAACAGTTTTGCAGTACGGTAAACCGTGGTTTGCGATGGTAATGCCGCAATGTTGAAATTAAAGTGATCTTCAGATTTTAACTAACGTTGAATGTTATACACCCTGTCCACGCCAAGTTGGCGGCATGGCATTTTATTTTTCTGCTGAATCGTGTTGCGTGTTAATATCCCCTATTTTAAAAGTTTACAGTGCAGTTTTTTCTTGCGCATTTTCTGAGTGTAAATTCACTCGACTTTTTGTTGCGTGTCGCGACCAGCACCTTCGAAGCGAAGGCATCGATTGCACGATGCATGGCAGCGTTTAAAACGAATATAATTCACCCAGAAATTCAGGAACAACTTTAGGCGCTTGAGATTAGGGATACTTTGAGAACAATTGAGAGGCTGTTTCGTGAGAAAAAACTGAAATTCGTTTGCTGGACCAAACCCGCAAAACGCCACGGGGAGCAAAATCGTTTTTACTTCAAAACAAAGCTCTGCCCGAAAACAATTTAAGTGGCCATTGGGATTTCTCAGTCTCCAAGGTCGCGCTCTTAATTTGCGAACGGTGATGCAAAAGTTGACGCCCATTTCCTCCTTGACTGTATTTTGCAAAGCATGGTCAAAAAGGACTTCCCACGGCTGCACGGTGACCTCGCGAAGGAGACCGCTCTACATTTTGACCACGCCCACCGCTAAACCGCTGCCCTGACCCAGGAGGGACTTTAAGTCAAGTCTCTCAACTGCACTCTGAAGGACCACTGGGTGGGTAACTTACCCAAATTGAAGCCGGTGGACTAAAGCATTCCTGGGAATTTAAAATAAATTTTGAATAATGGGAAGGCAGCCACGGTAGCTAAACTGCATCGCATTGTCAACGGAGGCTGCTCTAGTTTTGATCTTCTTGTGATTCGTCACACGCTCCAATCTTAGATACCCTGTGTTTAAAAGATGTGGGATACATTGGGTGATACCGTAGAAGTTGAAAAAATTTTAAGTTTTTGACCGTGGGTTAACAGAAAATTTTTAAAGGGAAGCCGCCAACTTGGCGTGGACAGGGTGTATATGTACCTAGAGGTACCGATATCTGCACGTATTCGTATACAGTAGAATGCTGCGCATCTGAACTTGATGTTACCACTAAATTAATTTAAGTTGATAATATTTTAAATTATATAATAGTTGTTTATGTTATTGATGTGATGGGCGTGTGATTAATAACTTTTAAATTGTCGTGCAAACCTTTGGCGTGTTTTTTTTTTTAATTTTGGATTTTGGACTTAATCCTTCCATTTTTGCTGTGATGATAATAATATTGTTAAGCAGTTTGTATTTTGTACATTCTATAACAAAGCGCTCGACGTAAAAAATTATTATGTTGTATCAAACGAACTGATATTTAAAGGCATCAGCAGTTCTAATTTTGTACGCTACGCTCAGATATAGTGTTTTTATGGTGCAGTAAAATAAAAAAGTAAATCAACATCCTACGCTGTTCGAAATTCCTGCGTCAGTTTACAGTTAAACTAAGCAATAACTATATATGTACCAAAAACGTTGACCATGAATAAATACTGTATCATGAGATACGAGTTACCTTATAGCTGTTTGAAGGTTGACGAGTCCACGTCTCATGTCTGCTACGTCTTTGGAAGTGTTTTATAGCCAATTTTGGTTTCCACCCAAAAATTTGTAGTAGTGCATACATTTTGTACATTCGGCTTTGTGCCGACTGTCGAAATGATCGCATGTCCACTGTCCAGCTGCTTTGTAGATCGAAAAGATCCTTATACTCCCAAATGTACTGCAGCCATGTGGCATAAATTTCGAAATCAGTAAACGAAACTCCATATTTTATTGATCAAATTATCAGAAAAAGAGACCGATATTAGTATTGTACTTCTCATATTGTCGTTTACAAATTATGTGTGTTTATCAACCGTTTCTGGAAAAACTTGTCGAATGCTTAGTCCGACGTAATAAGAGTTCAAGAAATATTAATTTGTGATTTTGTATCTACTCAGGCTGATATCATGGGTACGAGGTATCAGATAGCGTGCAGGGTCGTGGGTAAAGTACAGATAGTTGTGTTTCGCAACGGATGGCACCTCCGTTTACCACCATCGACCCCACCATGCCCGCACTGGTCCACCGCCATTGACGGCATCTTCACATTGACCGCATTTACCGATGTTGTTGCCATTACGGTTAACGACGTTGATTACACTTTTTCCCGTAACTTCCTCGTTTACTGGCGACGTTCTGCGCGGAGGTAGGTGGCCATTTCCTGCAGTTTACAGGAGAGTAAAATCGTTGCGATGCGTGTGTCACCCACATAGCAAAATTTGCATCTTGAGTTTTGCAAAATTTGTTTTTCCGCACAATATTGGTAGAGATTAGTTCTGCCCGCTTGAGCACCGGCGCGTGGGCGACAATCACTATGGAGCGTTTCCGTCTCGAATTGTGGTGCTCGAGGGGGAAATCTTTTTATTCTTTTGCATTTTGGCTTTCATGCACTTTTAATGCACATTACATTGAGAAAGCATGTCTTAAAATTTACAAGCGTGGAAGTATTATGTTAATTAAGCTACGTTACTTTGATTTGTACTTGACCATCAATCGTTCGTGTGGGAATGCAATCAATCGGTATGTACTTAATTGGGTTTTTAGTGTATATGCACAATGTATTCGTATTTAATATAAGCCTTTATTTATGTAAGTAAGTATTTGTGCTCCTTTGTTAGCTCTGTTGCTGCGTAATTGTTAAAAGCAGCTTTTTGGTTGGTTTTATTAAAGACAATTTTTAAATGCGAGGCAAGTACAGGTATATTTTGCGCTTGTTCATCCAGTTATATGGTGCAGTCTATCAGTCTTCTTCCAGTCAAACAACTCCGCAAATTGCACCCTGATAAAAATTTGCTTAAACCAAGTAATCCCAGTTAAGCAGAACGACGCTGTTGTCGGCAAAGACTTTGACGCGCTTATCAGCACCATTCTTGGGGTCAAACCGAACACCGGCATGTTGGATCTTCAGATTCACTTCATCTTTCTTTCCAATAGCCGCCGTCAGCTTGTTGGATACATCGATGACCGCCACGATCTCCGCATAGCGATGCTGATAGGAGCGAGGGTGGAATCCGTTGATTTCGAAACCAAAGAAGACGGAGCTGTTCCTGGAGAAGCGCTGTTTGACCTTTTTAACGGCGTCCTCGATAGCGCGCGACATGGCTCCTTTGTCCGCTTGCATGTAATTGATGGGGAAGAAGCCGCTGTCGTAGTTGTCATCAGTGGTGCTATTTTCGTCGTTGGAGCATTTGATGCTGACCGGCTGGAAGTCGGGGTAGATATCAAATGCGCTAAAATTGCAGTAGTTATTCAATTTGGTCTCGGGAATCCCGGTCTCTTTAACGGCGCTGACAGTCCCGGCAAAAGGCTGGCAACCACACAGGAAAAACAACGACAATAGTGGACATGGTAAACAAGCAGTTATTACAGTAACGCAGTACAAACAGGACAGAATACAAAAACTCAGTAAAGAAAACTTACTAAGATTGCTGCTTTTATACCAGTGAAATGCTGAATGGAGCAAAGTTCATTCTTCTGTTCGAAGAAGACACACGGCTGAGTTTGCTGTTTGACATGTCTGATTGGCTTGATAGTGCCCCTGGGCTCTAATAAAGGCAGATGTACTTGTCCGTGTCACCGGTTTATCAGGCGATTTCCGCGATTGAGACACTTGAAACGTCAGCAAAAAAAGTGGAGACGTACAAAACGATACAACGACTCCAGTGAAGTGAACTTGTCAATGAATCACTTGCAACCGATTTGGTTACCTCGTTTCTTAATGTACATACTTCAGACTTCAGAGAACTTGTTTTGAACGGATTCCCAGAACAATATGACGAAGAATCAACTGTGCTACGGCATGTTAGCGTGGGTTACATAGTGAGTTACACTTCCCTTTAGCTGCGCTGCTCATTAGTATTTTGCCGGTACCTTCGCATTATTTTAATTACCGGTAAACTCTTCAGCAACAGTAGCTGGAGATTGAGAATCATAGGTTGATTGACAGCAGGAGACTATAGATTCTTGCAGTGAACATGGCGACATGAAAATAGTAAATAGCTGCACAAACCCAGTGATCCAACTGACCAAAATAAATCCATACTATATCATAAAATCAAAAGGCTTCAACGAAGTAAAAACTTGATGCAAATACTTTCTACTTAAGGGAGAATCAATGACAATTTACTCGAGGGTGTTCTATGATTTGGCGCTATATGCAACAGCGGAATGTAGGTAAGTACGCAAATTATGAAAGTGTCATCGTACATTTTATTTGTAACGACAACGTATACTTTACTTGTCACGCAGCTGTTCCCGCTGAACGTATTTGTTCAGATCTCCTATCACACTATGAAACGGTGACGAAAAGTTCTCTACATTACGTATACGAATGCAAGCATTTATGCATAAATATAATAATCTTTATGCATACTTTTGGAGATATGCAAATTCAGTACTTGGTTCGCTTTCCTGCGATGCACACGCAGACAGACAGTAAAATAATAAAAAATGGCGGATAAACAAAAGTTGTGACTATCGACGCCGGCTGGTTGTAATCCGGATGTCCGGACATTGAAATGTTGTACATGATCGTATTATATGTCTGACAATTATATAATTAGGCAAGAGCCAACGATATTAATTATAGCCAAAATCTCGATGTAACGAGTCTGCCGAATGCGACGCAGCAACATACAGAAACCGAGACAAGCGGATGGCAATGAAGAGTTCCGGAAGAGGATTCATAAAAGTAATGTATTAACATCCACAGTAAGGTATGCTGTGAAACAGTTTGAAATATATAATTTCGGCAGGGTGGAAAATTTGTATATTACAATGCCCGGTGTGGAAATACTAAGGACAAGCTGTGTCATCATGCACACCATATATAATGGTCTTTGACGAATTCAGCGTTTCTATTGCTTAGATTGCTAGCTGAGAGATTTTTGTAAATAATTAGTTAAGTCGTAATGCGAAAGCTGTTGGCCTCTCAAGCTGCTTTGACACAGTCGGAAAATGCATTGTTGCTCACGAAAAAATCTATCAGACTAAATGGCTCCAACAGCATTAAAGTTTCGTTAATTTTAAACGCAAAATAGTTGTACTGTATTATGGATTTGGGGTTACTGACGCCAGTTAACTTTATTTAGTTTAGTGAAGCAGTTTATATGCTGATGTAGTTTGCGGTTAATGAATGCCACTTTTGGCCAGTTTATCCTTTAAGAAATCGACATGTCGAAGGTCTTGTGAAGCCAAAACAATAAGTACGCCTCAGTACCTTAGTACCGTTGAAAAGTGATCAGTAGTAATTTTTACCTGACAGCGATCGTACAGATAACTTTAAGAAGCACGTTAAGCGATACGAGTACAAATATATCATGTATGTAAAGTGTATCGGTTAACGGACTAACTAAGAGCTCCAAACTTGTTGCCGGTTAATGCACCTAACCGATGAAAGACCAAAAAATGTTGCTTCATACCGGCGACCAGAAAACATATATTTAGTTATTACAAAAAAAATTGAGAAAATGGGCATCAGGCCAGAATAATGTGAACGAATTCGTTTGTCTGGTTTTTTAAGATCCCGGTATTTTTGCGATAGTCCCTGCCGACCACAGGTTGCTCAGACTGGACTTCCGACACTAGAGCTAAGGATCTCCTTCTCCGCTGCATGTTGGTCAGGATCATCGGAGCCTCAGTATTAGCAATACAAGTCAACGAGTGCACAAACTGCAGATTAATTTCTCGCATTAAACAGTATCACTCACTGCAGGCCTCCGAGGGCACACGTAAATGTTTGTCCATGAATGGTTTATGTATTTGTCTGACCATGAGTGCGCAAGCAGCAAGTTCGGACTGGCATCGGT